GTTTCAGCTTTGTTGAGCTTTCCGGGTCCTTAAAAACACAGACAAAGGCAGGCCTATCAAACCCGACAAGCGCGGGTGTACCGTCAGGTGCAACCAATAGGAACCCGGTATTCAAGCTGAAACAAAGACGGAGAGCCGTGAGCAAGTGGGTTATGTCGTACTTGCAGATTGTGCAGCACTGACAGATCTGATAGGCATGTGCTTTTACAACCAAAAGAGATTTGCGTGTGGAGACTGGAGCTGGACCAGCTTTGCTCACCGATGCAACTATGAGTATCGCACCGGCGAGACATGTGGTATGAGACTCGTCAACATGACCGAGAATGAGAAGACAAACTGTCGTCTCTGCGAAAAAATTGAAACCAAATATCGCCGGCGTAGTGCCGAAGTCGACCGTTTGGACCGGTGGAAGCGAGAGGGTGCCACACTTGTGGCCTCAATGGATCGGTCTCACAAACTCATTATGGACTTGGAGAAAGAGATTCGCTCCCTGCAGCGGGAGCGGGACGACCGAAGGAGCACTCTCCTAAGATAGGATTGGCTTGGATTTGTAAAACCGGTGTTCCTTTGGTTTCTCTGGCCCTTTTTTTCCCCTTTTTTGTTGGACAGCAATTGTGCGAGCTTGTTTCGGGTCCTTGGTGGCCAATTGTCCTGTCGTTCTTTTTGTTGCCTGTCACTGTTTCTTTAGGGGGATTTGCAGCGAGTTTCATGTTTCACCATTTGTCCGTGACATTAAGTCCGAATCGAGTTTCTGCAAGGTGATGGGAGAACCAGATCGCCTTTGAAAAGATTGACAAAAAAATTGATTGGTTCAGACTCCATATTGTTTTCTGTCCATAGGCTGTTAAGCTCCTAAAAAAAATGTCAATAGGGACTAGCCATGTCATAAGCGCCCTGCTTTGCTGGGTGAGCGGTTCGCTGACACAGATTGAGTCTCACAAGACGAGAAGTGGCACCTGCTGCAACCAGACAAAAAAGCCATTGAGGCCTGATGGATATCAAATAGCCATTCAAAATCGAGATAAATCCTTGAAACGAGAGTAGTTCTGTCTGGTGTTAAAACGAGGGCACATAGGGTGGAACAAAATGCCCCTCATCACACCCCGCACGTGACGATCCCCTGCTTAAATAACCTAATAAGATGGACCTGTCACAAAACAGATGGATCTTGAGTAAGGCCCTAGAAAAGCTGGCGAAAGTAGAAGCAGTTCTGCTGGTTGCTAGTGTTGTGAGGAGAAGAATCCAGGGCTAGGTCACCTGTGGACTTACTTCCCTTGCTCTATGACCCCAAAGCCTTGAGCAACTCCAACATTGCAAATCTTTAACCCAGCTGTTTGTGCAATCTAGGCAGAATAACGATAGGTTTTGTAGGTACGGCTAACATTTAAAGGAGAGAAAAAGAAAAAGGAAGGGGTATTGAATTGAAGAGAAAGCGGCGACCTGGGAACTATATATCATGGCACTATAATCGGAGAATTTATTCATGCTAGCTAGATCGCGCATGCCCCTAAGCAACACCCATGTCTCTCCAGCCTACGTGTACCTATCTGCTTCGGCATCCCCAAGGCGAACAGTGTCAAATTGGAAGGCAGAGCTGAAGGAGAGCGCTGAGACTGGGCCGATGTGCATGCCACGTCACAAGAGAACAACACCAGATGCAGCCATAAACAGAAGCACGCGCGACGGATAAAAGGCCAATGTTTTGTTTGGGCATGAGATGATGCTAGGATATTGCAACCGGATGATTATGGTCAAAGTATTGGATTCGAGTATCTGAAACGGAAAACGAACAAGAGAGGATTTAATCTATTTTATGTCGCCAGCCTCGGGCTCATCATCGACCTTGGCTAGCCCTTGTTCCCGAAGAAGCGCATCAATCTCATCCGCACTCCATAGGTGGTGGTAGATTTTGCCATCCTTCGTCTTGCCCACTGTTGCGAACTCGACTGCGTAAGGTAGAAATGTTAGTACGATGAAACACAATGAAGCAGAGACGACCGAGAAACTTACTCTTCTCACTGCTCAGCTTTGTGGAGTCCATAGTCTTGCTCAGCACCTTAACAGCCATAGCACAAGCCTCCTTCAGAGCGCAGTCCTCCTTGTAATCTTGCTTGAGGAGACTCTGCGCGCTTGCGTTGTTTGCGCCAACACTCGTCGCTTTCCAGCCTCCGTAATTTCCACTAGGGTTGCTCTGGTACAACTGGAACTGACGGAGGTGGTCATACCCGGCGTAGATGAAGGAGACACCGAACGGACGGAGACCTCCGTGTTGGGTATATCCTTGCTTCAGATCACACAATCGGCGGACAAGCTGTTCACATGGAATGTCTTCGTTGTACGTGAGGAGGTAGCGTTGGGCGTTCTGGCGAGCATAGTTGATCAGAATGTTGGCATCGGCATTCATACCCGCAACGGCGCAGATCATGTTACTGGAAAATATTAGCTACCTATCCGAATACCAAAAACAGTAGATTCGGCTATTTCATTCGAGATAAATGGGGGGGTTGGCGTACTCGTTGATTGTGTAGAGCTTCTCAGCGGAGGTATCCTGCTCCAGCAGCTTGCTGGTCACCTTCCTCTCAGCAGCGAGGACAATTCCATCCTTGGCTAAGATACCAAGGGCTGTGCCGGCATGAGAAATAGCCTCAAGCGCATATTCAACCTGGTAGAGTCGACCCTCTGGGGAGAAGATGGTGGTCTTTCCAACAGCGTCATAGGTTAGCTGGAGCTGCACAAAAGGAATGACGGTGTCCACAAACCCTCGAATCGTATCTCCGAGACATCGTGTATGAATAAAAGAAAGCAACAAAAACTCAGAAATGGGCTAAAGGTAAGGGTTGATTGTGCGGAAGAGGTGCTTCGGGATGGTGAAGGTCGGTGGTGAAGACGTAGAAGCTCCAGGCAACTCGCCCTGGCGCGTCCTCTGTCATCCGCCAAGCTCGGACCACTTCACCACACCAAAGCTCCGTTGCGACGATTTTACCACTTTGACCCGCAACGACGGACTACAAGGCCGATAGACCCGTTACTTTGCGTTTCAGTCGATTCATCTCGATCGTCATGCTCAGATCAACATACACCGCTCCTCCCCCTTTGCCTTCGGGGTGGACACAGCATCGAGCCCCCACAGGTTGGTATTGCGCTGGGTTCGAGTGAAAAGTTTTGGCCGTTCTAACGATTAAGCCAGGTCATTTGTACTATTATAATTCTTCAACAAAGCAATCGACATACACCCGCCCCCAAGAAGCAGCTCCTCAGCCCATCCAGGACGCTCCCGACATCTCAGAAGCAACATACAATCCTGAGACGCTACCTCCGTTTTCTTCGACGCCCTATGGACCAGCACAATTTGGCCCACCACAATTTGGCCCACCACAATTTGGCCCACCACAAAACTCCCGCGGACGCGGAGGGTTCCGCGGTGGGAGAGGTTACCATGATCGTGGACGGAGAGAACCCGAAGATCGGCCAAAAGCGAAGCATCCAATTCCTGACTGCGCCCCGTGGCTACTAGTGAAGACCAAGCTTGGGAGGAGATTTGTGCACAATCCGGAAACAAACGAAAGTTTTTGGAAATTTCCAGAGCAAGTTTTGAAGGGGGTGGTCGAATTTGATCGCCTCGAGCGTGAGAAGAAGGAATGGAAAGAACGGGGTGAGCACGAGGTGCCAGCCAAAAAGGAATCGTCTACACCACAGGATGATCGCAAAGAGCCCCAGCCGACACCACAAGAAGCGGAACGCGCAGACTATGACTCCGAATATGAAGAGGTCGAGGTTACAGACAGCGAGGCAGAAGAGGGCCAACCGTCAAAGCGCGCACGAGCTGAAAGTGAGGATGCCAAAGATCAGCCGCTAGAATTCAACGAAGAAGACATGGCATATCAACTAGCAGCCATGGGCGAAGACTACGGACTGGACCCTGGGGAATATGGTGACGTCGGGGAAGAAGAGTGGGAAGAAGGCGCAGAGGGCCTGCCACTGACAGAGGCCGATGCTGAGGCCCTCTTCCGCGACTTACTGGATGACTTCAAAATCAACCCATTCACGACATGGGAAAAAGTCATAGAAGAAGGCCGCATCATTGAAGATACACGGTATACTGCACCCCCAAACATGAAGACACGACGAGAGATCTTCTCCAATTGGACACGGGACCGAATCCAATATGTGAGAGAGCAGAAAGCCAAGCAGGAGAAGACCGACCCACGCATTAGGTATCTGGCATTTTTGCAAGAACATGCCACTCCGAAGCTTTACTGGCCGGAATTCAAGCGCAAGTACAGGAAAGAGCCTGAAATGAAGGACTCTCAGCTTGGAGACAAAGAGCGTGAGAAGCTCTACCGGGACCACATCTCTCGTCTCAAGCAACCCGAAAGCACTCGCAAGTCAGACCTGTCAGCTCTGCTCAAATCTGTTCCTTTGGACTTGTTGCATCGGTCGTCGAACTTGGAAGCCCTGCCCACCATGATTATTACCGATATTCGTTATATCGGACTCGGGCCCGAGGTTCGAAACCCGTTGATTGAGGCATACATATCTACTTTGCCTCCGGCGCCGGAGGTGCAGATGACGGCAGAAGAGCTAGAAGAAGTCGACCGAAAACGAGTTGAACGGGAGAAACGCGAGAGGGCCCTTGCAGATCGAGAAAAGCGGGTTGAGGAAGAGAAGCGGAGACAGCGAGGGGATCTTCTCCGTGGCAAGCATCTCCTCCGAGAAGGCGAGGCCGAGATTGAACAGGCAATGCGCGTCAACAAGGATGCACTAATGAGCTACATGGATGTTGATCAGGCGGTAGATGAGGAACAGAAGCCGGGTCAACAATAGTTGGTCACTGAATATTACACATCACTTTTGTCGAAATAAAGGACAATCGAGTTCATATTGTACATCAAGAGGCAATTTGCTGCTACCAATGCCATTCGGTTCCTGAGGGTATCACTGTAGATGAGGGAAATCATTTCCCTTCACGTAGAATATTCGTCATTTCACCATCGATTCAATCATTTAAATCTCCAATCATCCCAATCCTCGTCATCATCTTCACTCTCGCTCTCAACCTGCTCCACTGCGCCGGATCCCATCGGCTCATGCTGTGTCTGGTCTTCGGCGCGGGCTTTCCGCAGTTCCTCTCGTTTTTGTTTCAGCCTTCGCACCCTCTCCTCCAACTGATCCATCTCGTCAAACTCTTCCTCCAAAAGCCGTGCGGCATCCTCTCGCTCCCCTTCCATCTCTGCCTCACGAGAGCGGACTGTCGATGTCTTCGCTCTCTCTTTTTGCGCAGCAATTTCTGCAGCTGTCACAGGTGCTGCAGATATCGTAGCCTCAGCCATAACAGCAGCTGGTGCATGGGGCTCATCAGACTGTGCGGCGACCTCGCGTTCAAATGCTGCCCATGCGTCTTCGTCAATAGGCGTGGATGGATCTTCAGGCGGCTGCGTAGTTTGTTCTTCTGCAAGGTCTGTAGCTGGCTCAACAATCTCTTGTTCGTTGTCGAGTGGAGGTTCTGGGCCGGCGACATCATCCTCGACTTGCTCCAAACCTTCATCTCCTGCTGTTTGCTCAGTGCTTGTTGCGCCAGAGATAGACCGAAATGTGTCTAGTTCTGCAGCACGGATCTTCTTTCGCATCACTCCATCTCCACTGTCAACCTTGCGCTTTTTGGTGACCCGGTTTCCTGTCGTGTTTGGTTGAGACGTGCCCTTGCGGGATGCTAATTCACTGCGGAGTAGCGATCGGACATCGGCCATATTCTCTAGGTTTTAAGAAGTTGGTAGGATGGGAGATGTAGTAGGTGAAATAAGTTCAGAGTCAAACTGGTGGGAATAAAGGAGCCTGTGATGAAGAGTGGGGAACCTGGAGAAGCTCAATCTGAAGATTCACCGAAGGGCATTTCCCGCGAACCTGTGCCTGGTGGCAAAGGTCACGTGATAACACCCCGGTGACAAAGACGGGAGCCAAGCCACCCGTCGACTTATTCATCTTCTTCTCCTCACATCGCATCGCATTTCTTTCCTATCTTTTAACCATCCTTCTTTGGCGTTACGTTATTGCTTTCGTCACTTGAACTCCGAGGATATACTGCTCCAATCTCAACACAAAACGTCTGGTGCTATATTTGACTGCAAAGTGCGTGACTTGGGCTCAACTCACTCCACGCGACCCCGCTTAGCGCCAAGTGTCGATTTGACGCGCAGCAAGGGATTGCACAGTCCACCATAACACCCACTTGAGCGCGTTCTTCGCCACCGCGTGTCAGTCCAAGAAATATTGCGCAGAGACTAGATCGGTTCTTTTATTCGATCGAGCAAAACTGGGCTAGACAGTGACGCTGTTGTGCCGTCTTCTTGTGTATTACATTAGCGCCTTGAGCCCGTAGAGACTTTTGTCAGCCTGGGGTAACACCCGAATTTCGAGCGAGTCAAGAGACCTATTATCCTGTCGCGCTGTAGTACGCGCCAAATACCATTATCATGGCTGGTAAGCTTTCGTACACCATCACTGCACCGATTGTTATCCGATCACTTGAGAGGGGCAGGGCAACCCCGTCTGTCTGGGTTGCGAACTCAGGCCCGTGGTTGCCGACCATTTACCAGAAGACAAGCTAACAGCAAGATTAGATGAACCCCGACGCTCCGGCCGAGCCACTAAAGGCCAGCACAAGAACCTCGAACTCCCAGATGATCCCGCCAAAAAAGGCAAAAGCAAAAGCCCGAAAGAAAAGAGCGCAAAGTTATCCGCCGAACCCACACCTGGTCCTAGTGAAGCCGAGGGAGACGAAGAGGAGATCATCCGATGTATTTGTGGTGAATATGAAGAGGAAGAGGATGTGGAGCGCGACATGATCTGCTGTGATCAATGTTCAGCATGGCAACACAACGACTGTATGGGCCTCACATTCGCGAAAGGTCAAGAACCAGATCAATACTATTGCGAACAATGTCGACCAGAGAACCACAAAAACCTCTTGGCAAAGATCAACGCGGGCGAGAAACCCTGGGAAGAACTCGCTGAGAAACGTCGCCAAGAGGCCGAGGAAAAGAAGTCTAAGCGGAAAAAGGGCAAGAAGGGAGGCCGCAAAGGAAGACCCAGTGAGAGCCGGACAGATGCTAGCACGCCAGCTCGCACTGCGCCATCTACTACACCGGGTCCCAGCGGTTCCCCTGCACCCGCTGTGTCCGCTGTGTCCGCCTCAGCCGAACCAGAGAAAAATGGCCATGCTGCTGATTCTCGGCGCTCCAGCACCAACAAGCGCAAACTTGAAGAGACAGTAGAGGCAGAAAGTGTAAATATTTCCGTTTCACTCGATCATCACATTCAAAATGCTGACTTGTTTATCTATCAGGGACCACAGGTCAAACAGCAACGGGTATCTCCACAGTCTACTCCGGCAGCTATCCCAGAGGCAACTGCACCCAAAATCAAGACAGACCCTATCCCCGAGGCACCTGCCATTGGAGCCTTGGATGAGCTGATGCCTGCTCGCAAGAGTGTGGCCACACACCTCATCAAGTTGTTTGTAGACCAGATTACTACAGCCCTGAAAGCAGGCTCTTTTACCTTGCGTGCGAACCAGTCAGTGGAGGACATGGCACAGCAACTGGCTCTATCCATTGAGGATGCCATGTATGAGAGTATCTGCGGACGGACAGGGGAGCCGAATGAAGCATATAAGGCGCAATTGCGATCGATCATGTTCAATGTAAAGAAGAATCCTTCTCTGCGAGATCGTCTCCTCATAGGTAGTCTCTCCCCTAAGTTGCTGTCTCAGATGACAACGGCGGAGATGGCCAGCAAAGAACTACAGCAGAAAGACGCCGAGATTAAACGAGAAGCCGACAGACACCACACCATTGTCCAGGAACAAGGTCCTCGGATTCGACGCACCCATAAAGGAGAAGAGTTGATCGAGGATGAACACCATGGCGCGAACGAGTCTGTTTTCTCCCGTGGACCCCGTCGCGTTGTGGCCGATGGCGGCAGTCCAGCACATAAAAGTCCTACCAGCCCCAACGGACCGCACCAATCAAAGACAGAGACAGATGGAATTGTTCGGGGTCTATCACCTGAGGGTGCTCACCATGACCACGTTTTCCCCGAAGTGGCTCCCGCCGTTCACGAGCCACTGCCTGGTGGCAAGGTCCAAGCAGATGCTGAGATCGATCAGCTCTTGCGCGACGATGAACCTTATTCACCTCCTTATTCACCCAAAGACTTCGACGATGACGGCACCATCTGGCGTGGCATGGTAGCGATGCCTCCAATTGGAGAGTTCTCCTCGTCCGCGAAGCATGTGGGAGGCGCGGACTTGAGTGGCCGAATCCCATGGAGCCAACTGGCGCCCTCCACGTTGGTTGTTGATGGCCGTATCGATATTAGACGGGCAACTGATTATCTATGCGGCCTTCAGTTCAGCAAGTCTACCGATGTGTCTGTGATAGCAATCAGTTGTCCTGATCAGCCTCCGGATCGCGCAGGCTTCGATAAACTGTTTGACTACTTCCATAGTCGTGGGCGTTATGGCGTCATTGGAAAGCACCCGCTATCTGCCGTTAAAGACACCTACATTGTGCCAATGGAGGTCGGCACCACGACGATGCCCGAGTTCATTGAGCTGCTCGAAAACATCTCACTGGAGGGACCCATTACTCAACGCATGCTCCTTACCATCTTCGTTGTCAAGACTGGCGAGTCTAACCCTTCATCTGTCCAGCCGCCATCCCACCAGGCTAGCCAGGAGCCGCCTGTCTCTGCGAGCCCTGCACTCACAGCGACCCCCCAGCAGCCTCAGTTCAGCGCTGGAATCGCGCCAACTCCCCCCTCCCACTTCAGTGGATTCAACCCGAATCCAGCAGCGTACGGCCAGCAGGCCCCTATACAGCAAGGCCAGGTTACCCCTCAACACCAGCCTACTCTGACCGGCCTCCCCGCCGCAGTGCAAGTGCTCGGCCCACAAGTTGATGCTCCCGCCATTCAGCAGCTTCTGAAGACTGCACCTAACGTGGATATGGCACAGCTGAGTGTCGTTCGCGACATTCTGGCTCGCCAGCCTGCTGCCGCTGCTCATTACGACACTTTGATGCAGGCTCTATTTGAGACCCAAGCAAACGGCCACGTCCCCCAGCAGGGTGTGTAATAGAGCCATGCCCATGATAGCCATTTTTTTCCCTGTACAGTTTATCACATTTTGTATTCCTTTTACAAGGCTGCGCAACGCTAGTCTGGTGTTCGGGACTGAAGTTTCCAGGGCTGGGAAAAGGGTTTGTTTTAGGAAAGTGGAATACCCACCGCCAAATGTTTTCAAATTTTATGTCTCCTTGTTCTCTACTCGCAAAAATGAAACCGCTTCTACTTGTGTTAGTATCTCATAGGGCTTGTTCGGCTTTGGACTCGCCTGCGTTTGGGTTTGTTGTAGTCAAATTACAAGCATGCTCTGTTGAAGTCTTGCATTTTGTAGACTGGGTTCTTTTTATCGCTAGTGGTATGCATTCTTTTTCTACCAGCATAAAAGGATCGAGATATTCCATCATATCATGGGAAAAGATAATGTATCCTATACACGATTCTTGTACATATTTTAAGGTTGTGAGATATCAACAAGCAGAAGAATGAAAAATGAAATGGATATTGAGCACTTATCCTATGACCTCCCAAACCGTCGTCTGAGCATCATACACGAGATAATAAGTAAAAACGCCTGCGCTATGCAACGGGCCCAGAGCCCAAGTCTTCACGAACGAGAGAAGTCAACGAAAATCACCATCTTCCACCTCCGCGGCGCCGATATCCACCCCCACCGCCACCACCACCGCCATACCGAGGACCCCGACCAGTAAGGGGGCGACCGCCAGAGGTGTAAGGGTTATCATCTTCTTCGTGGTGACGAACTGGCGGAGCCCGGCCCTTCAGTTCGATGCTCAGCTTCTTGCAGTTCTTGCGCATGTCCGAGTATCCCATGTGCATCTTTCCGAAGAAGTGATCCGCCAACCGGCGGTCGTTGTCAAGACGAGACAAGTAAGCACCGCAAACGTCGCAGACTTGCAGCTTCTGGTGGCCGGATGGACCAGAGGTATCTTGAAGGTTCTTGAGATCGCGCTCCAGACTTTCCTTCTGGTGCTTGGAGGTGCGGACTTTGTGCATTTCACTGAGTGCTAGCGCGACAGAACCCGTTTCGCCGAGAATCGAGACTTCTTGGAGACCGGAGTTGATTGTGTTGGAAAGATCTGCAATTTGTTTGAGCTATATCAGAAGTTAGTCAAAATCTTTGGAGTCCCTCTCATTGGGATTGAGGATAAATGTAAAGATAGACATACCAGATCGTTTGTCTGCCGGATCTCATCCGGCGTCTTTTCCAGTCGGCGCTGCGCAGTGTCGATTCGGCGGTCACAGTCGTCAATGTACTTCTGCATGTCGCGCAAGTAATCGAATTCGAACCCCCATTTGGCCTTCTCTGAGGCAGATGCTGTGTCATATTCTGCCTTCAAGCCTTCGCTGTGGACCTTGGGGCAAGGTCCAAGATCTTGCTTGGTGTTGGTGAACAGGTCGTGCGGGCAAGTGCCAGCTATATAGGAACGGCAAACTTTGCTGTCTGTGATTGAGAGCTGAGAATTTCGACCCTGTGAGCCAGTTCCAATAAGCTGATCAGCTATAAACAGAAGCAATGTTAGCTCAATTTGGAGACTTGTCGGGGTAGGCTAGAGCTTGGAGATTTTGAGAGTCATAAAAAGAGCAACACACCTCCCATGAGCTGCTCAAGCAGCTTTCTCTGTTCTGCTGCCATGCTGATGGTGTATCCAATAAGCTGGAAAGGGAAGGAGGGACGAAATTGTGTCAACGGGCTGATTGGCGGCAAACGACGAAGTCTTTCGTTTTTGATGCTTTTGGCGCCAAGGAAGGCGGTGAGGCTCCGCAGTCGACAGACCAGATGGTCATCTCGGGGCTTTTGGAGTTTGGTTTGATCTTTCTTTCGATGCGGAGCTTTTCTATTGACTCAGTGATTGCTTAGGTCTGATTTTCTGGGTGCGCAGCCAACATCCGCCCATCGCTTCACCGACACCCCCTGCCAATTGACCTGTGATAACCGCATGGACGAAGACGACCTCCGGCAAGCATGAAGTCATGACGGTCCTTTCATTATTCTCACTTCCTCTCGTCACGCTTATTCTCTCATTATGGAGCTCCTCTGCCTTCGCATCATCCGACTATCACGAGCACCTCCTCCTACACCCTCTTCCGCAGTCCTCCTTACTAGCTTCTTTTAACTTCCGAAGCAATACATCCAAACAATCGTTCGACCAACAGCATTTTAGATATTTGCCACGCGCCCTTGGTCAAATCCTTCAACACGCTCATACAAAAGAATTACATCTCCGCTTCACCACAGGAAGATGGGACGCTGAAAGCTGGGGCCCACGACCATGGAACGGCAGTAAAGAAGGAGGCACTGGGGTCGAGCTTTGGGCGTGGATCGATGCGCGGGGTGACGAAGAGTATGCTCCATACTCGAAATATGTTATGAGAGGCACACAATGCTGACTTACTTAGAGCTTTTGCCAAATGGATCACCCTGACACAGTCCCTCTCTGGTTTGTTCTGCGCCTCGCTGAACTTCGTGGACTCGACCCGGACCACTCGACCTGTGGTTTCTTTTGAACCAGCCGGAGATCACTCAGCTGCTGATCAACTGCACCTTCTGCATGGAACGCTCCCCGGAGAGGTAGTTTGCACAGAGAATTTGACCCCTTTCTTGAAGCTGCTTCCTTGCAAAGGCAAGGCTGGAATCTCCTCGCTATTTGACGGGCACAAATTGTTCGATGCCGCATGGCAGAGTATGTCAGTGGATATCCGGCCGGTGTGCTCTGCAGACGGAGAATGTGTGGTTCAGATCGAGCAAACCGTGGACATGGTCTTGGATATCGACCGGTCCAAGCGCTCTCGTTGTGCGTATCTTTCACCGGTATATTCTAGTTCAAGATTGCTAATATAGATCCAGCGAACCCAATTCCTCGGCCTGTGCCTAATGAGCAGCTGGTTTGTGACACTTCCAAGCCTTATAATTCAGACGATACCTGCTACCCGCTGGAGAAGACAAACGACAAGGCGTGGAGTCTTACAGAAATCTTTGGGCGAAGCCTAAATGGTGTTTGTCCTCTTACAGATTTCGATGGCTCTAGCGACCAAAGCGTCTGCCTTCGGGTGCCACACGAAAGGGGTGTCTTCATATCCGAGGAGGCCGATGAAATCAAGAAAGATGATGGCTTTACGCGCTGCTTCAAATTGGCACCATCGGCTCCCTTTGATCTTTCGATTCCGCAGCAGCCAGTGAACACTGAAGTTCCGTTGGACGAACCTGTTTTGCACGCAGAGCGAACTATTGTTGGCCACGGCCAGGAGCGCGGCGGAATGCGCATTATCTTTGGCAATCCATGCAACACTAGCGCAGTTGATTTCATCTACTTCGAGTCTCTTCCGTGGTTCTTGCGACCATATATACATACTTTGCACGCAACAATAACAGGGCACGACGGAGTCCTGCGCGAGGTCCCAGCATCTGAAATCGTGAAAGAGACGTACTACCGGCCCGCCATTGATCGCGAGCGTGGAACACAATTAGAACTGGCGCTTTCTGTCCCCGCCGCATCAACCGTCACGTTGACTTACGATTTCGAGAAAGCCATTCTTCGGTACACCGAGTACCCGCCAGATGCTAATCGAGGGTTCAACGTCGCACCTGCAGTAATTCGGATCTTGGATACGGCCCACAATGCGCCAATCTACATCCGTTCTACAAGTCTGCTGCTTCAACTTCCAACCCCAGATTTCAGCATGCCATACAATGTGATCATTCTCACTAGTACCGTGATTGCACTTGCGTTTGGAACTATCTTCAACATCCTGGTTCGACGAATTGTCACCCTAGATGAGGCCGCCGCCCTTGGAGCCCAGACTTTGAAGGGCCGGGTACTGGGGAAATTTGTGGCCCTTCGTGATCGCCTCCGTGGCAAGGATACCAAAGTGGAGTAGTTCACTCTGAATATAATAATTATAGTTACAATATTTAGTAAGGTCATGTAAGAGACTTCTAAAAAGCCTAGCTTTAGCTCTGTTGCTCTTTTTCACCTAGAACGTCAGAACCTGTGACATTGAGGGCAAAAATGACCGCTATTACAAAGCCTTTTTACAATCGATGCATCCAGAAAGTCCTTTCTACAAAACTGCCTCTAATCTCATTATCTTAATCTATACTTATGGAACGCATGATCACTTGGCTGGAACGGTTACACCAATGGGACGACCAATGCTTGAACCCGACGCAAATGCGTGTCGGACATGCTCTTCCAAATGCAACACATTCTCAACTCCTTTCCAAAATATGGAGTCAATCCGCAGAAGGCCAAGATGGAGGCACGGAAGAACATCAGCCTTCAGACGCATATCCCGGCGCACTTTGTGGAGGCAAGTGACCCATTTATCTGCCTCGCTCCTGTCAACGGAGCTGGCAGCCATATGTAGAATCTGGAAACAAATGGACGAGAATGCAGTCGCACTCCAGGCCGGCCATAGAGCCTCAAGGTCCTCCGGGCGCAGTTCGTGAATAAACTCCGCTGCTGTGGAAATGCAGGTTTCTGCTCTGATCCGGGCCTGCTCGCGCGCCAGTATATATTCAGCCTCGCTCAGGCCGTTGACAGTTGGCTGTAGGAATGGTCTCAGAATAGCCCTGCAAATACTGAGATGAATATAATGGTAATTCATCTCAAGTGTCCTCTCTAGTCCGGTTGGTCTGCCTCGATGCGATGAACCTTGATTCGATGATCGGAAATCGGTCGATGGTGCAGATACCCGTCTGTGCCATGAGAAGAGATCTTCAAGCAGTGGACCAGTCAATGCAATAGTCTTTTCGTAGTCGGTACAAATAGTATTAATGGCACGAGGAGAGCTAATAATGGTGAGTTGCGGATAACGGCAAAATAATAGGCATGCGGATTGACTTACTATAATTGGGTCAGAACACGATCAAGCAGTGAGTCGAGTTCGGCTCGCTTCATGATGGTCGTCCAGGCTTGAGGATCAAGTCCACTGACAGGACGATCCTCTTGGCTAGGACTTGTCACGAGCCAGTTATCATAATGCAGTAAAGGTGGCCGACCAAGGCTCAATGCGAGCCATTTGTCTGTCGAATAAATGAAATAAGACAGACAACGTCGCTGGGCACTTTGCCAAAGCGGTATTCGCCATGACTTTGGATCCAAATGTAGCCCAAGGGTGTGAGCGCAAGCAGTAAGAGCGGCAAGTTGGGACCATTTAAAGCCACTGTCCAATACAATTGGGTTTGGATAAGGTCGAATGGCCAAAAGAAGCATTGTTTGTACAACACAGAGCTTCGGTGCATGTATCTCATGTGAGAGAGCTTTATTGATAATCTTGTATAGCGCCACACTTGATGGCTTATCATATGCAAGATCAATGCATAGTTTTTCGTCAAATTTAGTGAAGGGCTCGACTAGTAGGTATACGCTCGCAAGGAGGTATGGCGGGCTGGTGCTGGGATTTAATTCGCCTGGTGGAAGTATTGGGTAATCTGGTGCGACTATCCTCTCAAACAAGTTAATTAGTCTGAGACCGATATCCCCCGGGACGAAAGATTCGAGTTCTTGCCTCAATTCAAGGGCCGAAACGTTCTCGCATCCGTTTTCCTCCCTGCTGGAGGCAAATATTGATGGTTTTGACAGTAAAAACTGCGTCGGATCGGTCCCCGAGGATACGGATTGGATATTGAGATTTTTGAAATGAAAAGCCCCAGATGTGTCGTATTGATAACGACTCATCAGCAAAGGGTCCATATCGCCACTACTGCCGAGCAATTGTGGTGTCATTACACCTTGAGTATCAAGGCAAATCGATGAGCCATTCTCCTTCATAATCAATGGCAGGCAAGCAGCCTGCGATGAACCTTCATCCTCCGAACGGCCAGTCCCTGGCAGCCCAGGAGATGGATAGATAAAGCCTCCTGGACTAAATCCAGTTGCCCATGTGCCATCTCCAAAGCTACCGGATAATGATGCTCCAGCCCCATCAAACAAATCATGGAACCCTTCAGGTCCAGTTGCAACTGAATGATCTACCCCATCATCACCAATCGACATCAAGATATCATAGTGGACTGGGTCACTAACTGGTGAAACCTCATCCTGCTCCAAGCGTGAGTTTATCTCAGCTTGTTCGGGGATCTGTGGGCTGACCATCTCGGGGAAAAGCCGGCGTGGCCTTGAGGCTGGCCGTAGGAATGTGCATTCCTTCCCATGAAGTGTGCAAAGATAACAGGGAGGTGCTCGATCAATGCGACAAGCTGTCTTTCTAGCACGACAGGAATCACAAGCGCGGTTTCTCTTACTCATGTACCTACGAGCTCTGCCTGACATCCTTGCATTTAGGAGAAATTGTCAAGAGTACATGCATTAGTCGCTAAACCTCGAGGGTTCAAGAGATAAGAAGATGTAGGATCCAGTGGCCCACATGCCACGTGACCATGCCTGGTCTTCATGGTTCTGGCAACTCTCTGCCTCCAGCTCCACTATAGAGGTCCTCGTATATCAAAGTAATTATTATCACTAAAGGTCCATCCGAGACTTTTAGACTAGGTCGCACTAACCTTGAGAGGGGTTGATACGGCGTTAGCATACGGAAGCGGGTGTTGTCGCCAAAAGGGTCTATATAAAACTTGCACTACATGTTTGCTTGACTTATGGGTTAGACGAACAGCTTGTCAAACCAATTTTTATTACGGTTCATTTGAGATATTCAATTACGTAGGAGACAGCCCAGTTCCCAGCTCATGCCCACCTGAATTCGACATTTAGGGTTATCGTGTCGATAAGCTTGTCCCCGCATCTCCCGGGCCGACCTAGGGAAGTAAAAAGTTTGTAGATTCCATGGCTCTGATGAACCCTTTTATTGAATTCGAGACAAATACGAGAGTATGAAGCATACAAATGGGGCGGGATAAAATGGGACTTTTTTAGGAAATGTAGATGTAGGATATGGCAAAAGTAGCCCAAGAGAAAAAGGTCCGGTCTGCTACATACAGAGCTTGGGCGAAATAATTTTGTTGGTTCCACTATTTTTGCACATACTCCCCATTACTTTTCATTCTTGCCGAAGTGTACCTGCCAAAGGATTCGACTGGTATCTTCAATATACACAAAGCTCTGTGAGAGTCCTCTTTCAGGGTGATTGAAGTGCCCAAAAGCATGTGGCACGCCTGGATATCTCTTCATTGTGACCTCGTTTCCAGCCTCTTGCATAAGGTGCCCATAATACTCCCCTTCATCTCGCTCAAGATCAAACTCTGCTGTGATGATGTGTGCCCTCGCAAGGTTTTTGAATGAAGGAGCAAGCACAGGTGTGCAGATCCACTCTTTTGTCAATATTCTTTCTTGGGTAGCTAGAAAAGCATTAGCACATACACGAAGATACTTGTAAGAGGGGAACAGAAAAGAAGGAAAGAATTACCGTCATCATCGCCAAGCCAATACTTCAGGAACCATTGCTCTCTGCCTAGTGGTCCCCAAGGAGCATCGTGGTATAGCAAGACACTTCTGTAGGGACAAGTGGTCTCATTCAGCTCCCGGGTTCTTAGACAGTAACGCATGTCTGTCGCCGGAACTATGATCAATTGAAGTTTCAGATCGATGCCCTCGTCACGGGCGAAATGCGCCATTACTGCCGTCATTTGACCTCCAGCTGAGAGACCTCCGATAGAAACACTCGATGGATTAATGTTGAGACTAGAAGCATTTTCTATTGTCTGTCCAAGTAATCTGTGTTAGTGAAGTAAACTTAAAATAGTATTGGGCGTTGTACTTACCCATTTCACAGCATCCCAAGAGTCGTAGATACTGGTAGGATAGGGAAACTCCGGAGCAAGTCGGTAGTCGACATCGATCACTTTAATTTGGGCTTTGTTGCACATGTGCCGGCACCAAGCAGCTTCAGAGTTGAGATTGCCAAGGACCCATCCACCTAGAGTCAACGAAAAAGGGTTAGAATGTCCATGCTGGAAAGTGCAAGTGCGGCATCATAACATATGTACCTCCATGGAAGTTTAGATGAACAGGGAATGGCCCTGAACCTTCTGGCGTATAGACCCTGATCAGGATCTTTCCAGCTGGCTGAGACACTGGGATCTCCATATCCTCAACATGGAAAACGGGCGGACCTTGATCATAGTCAGTACTTGTCTAATATGCCAATTGAATGACCGAAGCTCATGAATCTGACTTACCAGGGCATGTAGGGTAGGTGAAGCTATACGTAGCGGGGCTCTTGCGATATTCTTCGAGACATAGCTCGTCGGCTCTCACCATAGAGCTGCCATGCTTTTCCCATAGTTCTACCCATTCGGGATCCAATCCATGTAAAAGCTTGTCTGGTATAGACAAGCGCCCCTTCTCTTCTGCTATGACTGACGTTTGTGTACTGGCCATTGTGATGTGTCAAAGCAACGATTAGCTTCGCGATAAAGAAAAATTGTAAAGGCGAAAGGATGGTAGGTGAATGGTCAATCTTAAGCCAATGATTAAGATTGCTCGACGAAAAGATGCGACAGAGTTAATGAATTTGGTCGCCTACCCTTCGATACACTTATAACCTTGGAACGCAGGGCTCTGGTTGGCGGCATCGGCCTTATCGGCTCCGATCTTAGCGATAGGCATCGGGGTGGGGTTCTTCCTATCTGCGGGTCCCATGTGGGCCATGCACCCCGGATTCGTTCCCGATGTCGAACTTGCGACTGACCGAGTTGGTTAAATTAAATCGCCGTTCCTCTAATTTGACATGAACTCAAGAAGAGTCAAGTTTTCACCCTCGCACATTAGTCTACGCGCTACTTCATATATTTACATCTTGTTCCGCCAGGATGGATTCTATCTCAGCCGATAACCGTAGAGACCATCCAGAAGCAGAACTGGACAAAGCTGACCAGTCTCCTACTGGTATCCATGCTGGAATCCGCCGTATTCCTGACAAATTCCCAAGTGTCGCACTATTAATCCTTGTCGTCGAGGTATGTTGCCCCACCGCCCACGTGTCGATGCCCAAGCTCGTCCGCTAACAGCGACATATTAGCTTGGCGAACGGTTCACTTATTTTGGCCTCAGCGGTCCTATGCAAAATTATATCAAGTACGCTGAGCTTTCTACAAATGGGTCAATAGTTTGGAACAATGTCTAACTCCTTTCTTTATCTAGTAATCCCTATGATCCTAGGTCCGGTCTCCCCGGCGCACTAGGCAGAGGACAAGCAACCGCGTCGGCTCTTGGGAATTTCTTCAAATTTTGGGCTTATGCCTCCACTATTATTGGTGCAATTGTTGCAGGTAACACCTCTTCATCCGAGATATTGCAGGATCGTTGCTAATAGTCCACAAGATCAATATGTCGGGAAATTTAAAGCTATTACAATCTCTCTGGGAATTTACGTGGTGGGGTTAACCGTTCTGGTTGCCACCGCGACACCAGCTGGCCTTAAGGGTGATGCTGGTTTTGGAGGGTTAGTTGCTGCAATGGTTATCATTGGCCTGGGAACAGGTGGAATCAAGGCCAACGTGACTCCCATGTGCGCGGAGCAATACCGAAATGCAGAGCCGGTTCTGAAGACGCTCAAATCAGGCGAGCGCGTGGTCGTTGATCCTGAGTTGACCGTGCAGCGACTTTTCATGTGGTTCTACTGGGTCGTCAATGTTGGCGCTCTCTCCCCCTTGATTACAGTCAATGTTGAGGCAAAACACTCTTTCTGGCTTGCGTATCTGATCCCATTGATGTAAGTTGGGATAAGACACATCTATGTTACATCTGCTAATGTCTTATATTCCAGCGCAATCGTTCTCTCGGCTATCGTCTTCTTGTCTGGCCAGAAGCGATATGTTAGGATCCCACCCCAGGGGTCTGCTATTATTGATGCATGCAAGGTACTGAACATTGCCCGACAGGAGAAGCATTTCGAAGATGCAAAGCCATCAGCCCTACAGGCTGCAGGCCGTTTAAGCAAGTATCCATTTGCGTCTTCGCCGTGCTACACGGATCAGTACGTCTCAGACGTCCGCCGAGGCTTTAGAAGCTGCAGAGTATGTCGAAGTCCAATACTTTCGCACTGAGTTATACTTACAAGTATAGATGTTTGTATTCTTCCCATTCTATTTCATTTGCTGGGTCCAGATATGGAACAATCTCATCTCGCAGGCTGGACAAATGGCGTTGCACGGAACGCCGAACGACCTCCTGCAAAACCTTGACCCGATCGCCTTGTGTATCTTTATCCCACTTCTTGACTGTGAGTATTGACATAATGATACCAAAAATAAACAGAAAACATCTGCTAACCATGTCTATCTCCAGTGGGCGTTTATCCAGTGCTTCGCAAGTCTAAGATCAACTTCAGTCCAGTTCGTCGGATCTTCGCCGGCTTCCTTCTTGTCTCGATCTCCATGATCTACTCCAGCGTGCTACAGCATTACATTTATATGTCCCCAGCAAAAAGTATACACGTGTGGACCCAAGCCCCTGCGTATATCCTAGTCGCATTCTCCGAAGCCTTTGTTATTGTTACTGGCTTGGAACTTGCCTTCACACATGCTCCGAAAACGTGAGTCAACTGCCCACATACCGTCAAACTGAAACTAACTATAACTTACTTTAGCTTGCGATCTTTTATATCCGCACTCTTCTGGCTCATGATCGGCATTGCAGCGGCAATCTGTATTGGTCTAAGCCCAGTGTCGCAAGATCCGTATCTTCCTTGGATGTATGGATCGCTCGCAATTGTGGGCTTTGTGGCGGGATGTTTATTTTATCTGTGCTTCAGAAAGAGTGAATCCCTGGATCCGACTACTCCAGGACTCGTCGAAGGGGTTCCAGTTGAAGGAAATGGGCAACATGTGACACAAGTTGCTGATCATGGCAAACATAGTGAAGTATAGAAGGCGTCTGTCCGATGCAATAGTAATCAATCCACTTCCAGTGCGCATTATTATTGCAATCGTTTTCCTTATGTAACATGTCAAAATAAATGTTTGTTCAAATGGACAGTTCCTCCAGCTCTCAGCTTCTACAAATCTCTATTCATTCTCGTGTCCACTACGCACTTTTTCGTCTCCATTTTTATGGGCCCCTTTCGATATGCTTTATAGCTGCAACTGGCACCAGCAGACTAAAATGCCTATGCACTATACGACATACGTACAACATATGTGCAGTACCCTGGTATTTCCAACAATAGCATCGTGTTTGATCTGTTCTTAATTTGAATTTCAAATGATTTCAGTACCTCGAAAGATTGCCGTAAGTATGACACCGAGATTTACGAGGTACATACTCTTAGTATCCACCTTCCCCAGTGCCATGTGCTTTTATCAACTCACCTGCGCAGATATACAACATTCCCAATTCAGCCGAAGGTGGAATCATGGGCACCAATAACAAGCTATGCCGCGTGGCCCCACACTCCAATACCGCCAATCGGAGCGGCCCCCAAGCTTTCGCCTCCGAGATAGTTGATCGCATCTAAATTTGAAGCCAGAGACAGATAAGCAATATGAAATTAAATGAGTCGATGTGGAGCACGCCCCTCAAAACCGAGAAACCGTTGTTGCTTTTGTTTAGATTAAAGGGCCCCAGACCCAGACGGATTGAGTCCTAGTCAGCCGATTGAATTTTTGAACACTGATCAAAGTCACAATGAAGAGTGAATCTGTGGTAATTATTGGGTGCGTACTCAAAAAAAAGAAAAGAAAGAGACTCCTGCAGCTCACAGCTATGAGCTAATATTTTTCTTTTCTAGGGCTGGCATCATTGGACTGAAAGTTGCCCTGGTCCTTGCTGAGCGAGGCTACGGCAGTCAAACAACCATCATAGCCGAGCACCTCCCTGGAGATACATCGATAAACTATACTTCGCCTTGGTAAGCCTGCTCGCCTTTTATGGTACCTGTAGATATGTTCTTTGTTTTGAATGATACTAACATCATCTAGGGCTGGCGCGAACTTCTCTGCTCTTTCTGCAAGCGATAAGAATGCCCTCCGATGGGATCAACTCGGGTACAAGCACCTCCTCAAACTTGCCGCTCAAGATGGGAAGAATGCATTTGTTCGGGAAACTCCCTCTACCGAGTACTGGGATGAAATGCCATCGCGCACGAAGCTCGATTCCATGGCTAGTTATCTGAAGGACGTGAGTCGATTTGTCAAGAAGCGATTATTAAGGTTGTTTATTGCAATTTAGGATGCTGATATGGAAAAGCCACAGTACAAAGAGATTCCTCAGCAGGACCTACCAGAGGGTGTTGCAACAAATTCACTACAGTAACCCTCAATGCGCCGATGCATGTTCACTATGTTCTTCGAAGACTTAGACAGCAGTACGGAGTGCGGGTCATCCGCAAAAAGGTTTTGAGTGTAACCTCAGGCTTCCTGAGCAAGGACACAAAGGTGGTATTTAACTGCACCGGTAACGCTGCTCGTAACCTGCAGGGAGTCGAAGACCCTAAGTGCTACCCCACCAGAGGCCAAATTTTGCTTGCTAAGGCACCACATATCAACCAAAACGTGATGAGACACGGGAAAGATTATGAGACATACATTATCCCACGACCACACTCGAAGGGTAATGTCATTCTCGGTGGATATATGCAGAAGGGAGTCGAGTGAGTCCATCCGAGCATTTTTCTGTTATCTTTTCAACGTGCTTCGAGGACTAACTGTTGTAGCTTACCTGATACCCTTGGAGATGAAACTGAGTCTATATTATCCCGAACCAAGGCAATGCTACCAGAGCTCGAATCGTCCGAAACGGAGATCCTCGCAGCATTTGCAGGCATGCGCCCATCACGAGAGGGAGGTGCCCGAGTTGCTAGTGAGGTCGTACAGGTTGATGAGTCCGAGCGAAAGGGGCTCGTTGTTCACGACTACGGCGCTGGGGGAACGGGATTCCAGGCTGGGTATGGAATGGGCAGTTGACGCGGTCGGATGCGCGCTGGCCGAACTTGAAAAACTTCAGGTCGCCAACTCATTTCTCTAGGGTTGATCTCCCGGGCTAATAAAAGTGGTGGCTATAACATCCCAAGAATTTGTTTGTAGTATATTACAATTTCGCCGTTTGCGATTTTGGGACGCGCTCGGGTGGATTTCGAATTACAACTCACATACAAATTAACAGGTGCAGTATAGTACGTGCATGGGTTCATCTCGCCAGGAGTGCTGAACCATCTTATCCTCTACAACAGATTGGATTTGGTCAGAACAAGTTATCTCTAAATTTTTCAAGGGACAAAGAGAGAAATCACATGCCGAAAAAGCTCTTAAATGCACCCCATCCAGGATAAGTATCCGGGTCACCAGCCTTATGGCGCATAAAAGAATGATCTTCAGTGGCGCAAGTCGGATCTCCTTTGGCATTCATAGGCACATCATTGGAATCAACCAAGTTCTGACGTTGGACAAACTTACTTTGCCCACGCGTCTTCTGGTCATTTAAAGCGAGGAAGTCGCCCATTGTTGATCTGGGATTAGTCGCCTTCGATACGAGAATTAGCATTAGTTAACATATACTATGAAGCTATCCTAGCAACACTTAATCACGTACCGGCGAATGACCTGATCCCCCGTGCTTGCCACCTAACCAGAGCCTATCGCCCCATCCTACTCCACCGCCGACATTGTTGGCGGGAGTAGGTTGGGCACTGGCACCTCCTTCGGGTACCGCGGTCGTTTGGCGGTTGAAGCTATTATCAGCGCCCATTCTGATATTGCGATTAGTTTGGCCTGGATATCAGATTATTAGCAACCCGAACGATATTAGGAGCGAGAAGACGCTATAAAGTGATAAATTGATAAGGGAAGTGGATGGTATAAGTTGGCGTTGTATCGAAAAGTTCGCATACTCACTATATATGTTTCGAGGAAATTTCGTTTGGAGGTGCTTGCAGTTCTTGTAATTGAATTTGAACCGAGTGCGTATTTAAGGTGAAGTTGAATTCATTATTGATTTTATATATGTTCCGTGGCCTTAAAGTAATGCTTGCCACCACAACCCCAGATGAAGTCATGATGAGTATACATCGCCCTTTGGGATCGGCTCACCATTGGTGGTTTCTCCGCACTGTATTATAGGATTACTATCCTAATGACCTATAAAACAATTCCCAAAGCTGGGCTTGTTTTATTCGGTATGTTCGTTGCTGGAAATAGTGCCTATCGGTGATCAGGACGAGGACCACACCCCTTCTCCACAGACATAGGCAATGCACACGGCCGGTCTGCGATGCACGGCTCTTACGATCCCACTGCTCCCCCGCCTGGTGGCGTCCTTCATTATAATAACGGTAGCATTAGCTACGACAGGGCTCGTGGACAACACATGAATAGCGGTTATTCGTGTATCTCTCTGCGGAGATTCCTTCTCCATCGGGAGGTAAGCGTGGTAAAAGATATGACGCTAGACAAACCGCATAAAATCGCTATATCAGGTCAGCAATACTTCGAGACATGCGGATCTTAATAATACACCGACCAAGTGAACAGCTTATTTCAAAATACCCAACGCGATCCGTGATCAAGTACTGATAAAATGAGACCAAGGAACGATCCAATGGTGAAGGCCATACTGCAGATCGAAATAGCTCGTGAGTATCCCCCGTTTGGACCTGATGTCCGGGGTATCGTCTCTCCAAGTCATGGACAGTCACTAGTAACAAGCCAGTTAGCCATGGTGAGATATACTGGGGAACCTTGAGGTCTAGTGGCACACTATGAGTTGTTCAATCCCACTAGTTGAGAGGAAGTCAGTCTTAGGTTTGGCATGCATCAAGAAAGACATGTCCATTCGCACGTGAGAAAGAATTTAGCATAAATTGCCGAATGTGATCCGATCTCCTCACTGCCTCACCATCGCGATATATACACATTTGTCGCCTGTCCTTTCTCTTCTGCTTTCGAATTTTGGCATCCTGATCGGTACCTGTCTCACTTCTCTGTAGCCAGTTCACTTTTCACTTCATATATCATGTCGATAACACAGCTATCCGAGTTTCTATCCTCCAAGTTCGACTATCCTATTGTCGGTGGTGGTACAGCGGGGCTAGTCGTCGCTGCTCGCCTGACAGAGGATCCAGATATCCACGTAGGAGTCATCGAAGCAGGTGGATCCAAAGTAGGAGACCCTAATGTTGAGTGGCCGGCCAAATTGGGGAGCACGCTCCACAATCCTAAATATGACTGGGTGTACCGGTCAACTCCACAGGTACATGCTGCAGTGATCCACCAAATAAGTACAGATGGTCCTAACAAATGTCGAACTTACCCAGACTGGAACCAACAACAGAGTCCACCACGTGGCTCGCGGCAAGCTTCTGGGGGGCTCTAGTGGCATCAAATACATGGCATACTATCGACCGGCTGCACAGATATCGACCTCTGGCAAAAGCTTGGAAACAAAGGCTGGTCTGGGCTGAGCTTCAACCGTACTACCTTAAGAGCGAATTTATCAATGAGGCTAAACTCGGGAAGGAATCCGCACATCCCGATGTATACAACAACTGCCCGGAATCGCACGGAACCGAAGGGCCGATTAAGACCTCATTTCCAAATTACCGGCAACCTGTTGATGATCGAATGATAGATGCGTTTGACGAGACATCCGGGGTTGCTAGACCAAATGATCCTTGGAATGGAGCTCCGTTGGAGCAATATGGCCATTTATCAACAATTGATCGAGAGCTCGGGGCATCCAGAAGCTAGTGCATCTGCCTTTTCTTTATCCCAACATGCACCGGCAAAACCTGAAGGTTCTGGAGCATGCAACTGTGTGTAGGATCATGCAAGACCGGACTTCTCGGACCGCGCATGGAGTTGAATTCATTTATATCGGCGAGATACACCAGGCCTTTGCGAACGAGATCATCCTGTCGGCTGGCTCGATTGGAAGTCTGCAGCTGCTCGAATTCTCTGGAATCAGGGACCCAGATATTCTACGCAAGGCCGGTGTCCAGTCCCTGATTGACCTTCCAGAGGTGGGAAACAATCTCCAGGACCATCCAATGACGTCTCTAACATATGCCTTTAATGGGAAGAGGTGCTCAAGCAGCGAGCTAAACCTATGTAAATATCGCCAAGGACTTGAAAAGTCAGACGGAGTGAGCTTGATGGCCTTTCTGTCATACCCAAGCTTGGTATCTCCAACGGAATTGGCAAAGACAATCTCTCAAGTCAATACGTACGCAAGCTTAGCAAAACCTGAGCGAGAGGCTATCATTGCACGACTACAGGGTTCTTCTTCTGGCTGCTTGCAGTTCAATGGCGCTCCGGCATACATCGATATCGGAAATGGGCATGCAAATCAAAGGAAGCTCATTCGGACGTCTCGGGGGACGAACATACTCATTACAGCTACTATATCACTATCACCAGCACCATATCCTGTGGAAGCACTCACATCACATCTGCCAATCCGTGTAAGGCTCCGTCTATCGATCTCGGACTTCTGAATGCGCCCACCGATGTGAACTGCTGGCCGCAGGTTTGGAGTTTGCGGACTGTGTCTTCTCGTCAAGCCATACCTCTGAGCAGGTAATGGAGCGCGTTGTTCCAAGCCCAGATGTTGACCTCAAAGATCGCAACCAAGCTCGTCAGTTTATATGTGATTGGACGACTTCGTTCAACCATATCCTTGGCACTTGTGGTATGGGTCGTGTCGTGGATGAACGGTTGCGAGTGAAAGGCATGCGTGGCCTCGGGGTGGTTGATGCCAGCGTTATATCTACAATGGTTAGTGGTAATGTGATGGCTACGGTCTATGCTGTCGCGGAGAAAGCCTCGGACATGGTCAAGGAAGACTTCCACACTTCCGGCAAATTCCACGAATCAAGTGGGCTCGTGGTTTAGTGGTATGATACTCCCTTAGCATGGGAGTGGTCCGGGGTGATTCCCCGCCAGTCCAGATCCTTTTGCAACATGTACATAATTCCATAGCTTCGCACGTCGCTAGGCCTATGGGAGGTTGTAGAGATTCGCCCGTGTCGCTGAAACGACAAACATTTGACCAAAGTACATTTCTTTTCCAAATCAAAATTCAGGGAGAAGGAGGGCGAAGTGACAGTAGGCACCCCCATGCATGTCGCTCCTGCCTACAGCAGGTACATAGCTGCTTCTTTCAATTAACGAAGTCTAATCTCCCCGAGCTAGATATCTCATCAATTGGAAATATGAGTGGTCACCATCCTACCAATTCACTGGAAGAAATCACGGGAACGAGTGATTTCCAAACCAGAGCCTTCAACAAATGCCAAAGCACTTGGTTTCTGTACTAGTACACTGACTTTCTCGTGCCCGAAGTCAACAACCACAATCCGAGCAATGAGCGATGCAAGAGATTCCACGCTACCGAAAGATGAGGACTCCACACGCTATTGTGGCACATGGTGTTAGCATGATCCTCGACAGAAATGAAAAGAAGGGGCGGGTTTGTAGCTTACCTCTGCTACCTCCAAAGTTAATTCCTGATAGGTATCAACAAACTTTGAGCCCCATTGTTGTAGTGCAGGGCCGTTGAACGTCAGGGAGATGTGAACGGCTTGCTTCTCAACCCGTTCCCATGGGTTGATCCCCAAAATACAATAGCATCGAATATTTTCTATCTTGAATTCCTCCTCGAGAATGGCCAGACGTTTCGTTGCCAACGGAGGTGTTTCCCCCTTGACCACAGCCAATGCAGACTTACCGCGATAATAGAGACCTCCATCCGCACGCAGAATGGCCTTGGGAAGGCGAAGCTCTACTTCAAATTCACCAAAGTCTCCCCGAACTGCAGGGGATGGATCGCTCGAAGTGTTTGACTATTATATATTTAGAACGTGCCCTTCAAATTTGATCAAGACCTGTCGATGTAACCAGGGCGGAGGAAGCAGAAGGGTAGAAAACGAACCGCGGTTTCTTCCAATTGCTTCATGCCACACTTAGCTATCAGTGCTGCGGTCAACCTGACGTCTTGTCCAACCTCTCCCCGGAGGTGTTTGTGCAATTCCTCTCCATCTCCCCGCAGAACACCACATCCACGAGCTACCTCTGAGCTGTTGTCTGAGACCAAACCGTCAAGCTCTGCATCCAATCGCTTGAATAGCTTGCCGTAGTCAATTGTCTTTTTGACATCATCACTCTCTGCTGCTGCAGCTGATGATGCGTAGGTAAGTCGAAAAGATACATTGCATGGCTGCTTCTTTCCCCCGCGATGCCATGCCTCGGGAGCGACAGGTAGTGGAAGTTGGATATTCCGAAGTTGGATGGTGTCTGCAATGGTAGGCCGAGGCTCTATTGAGAGAGATTTTCTGAGATTGGCCATGGCCTCTTTTTCCACTGAATGTTTAGGTGCTACAAGGACTTGATAGTAACGGATAATGAGTCAGGATATTCCGCTGATGAAGCGATGAATGTTGATGATTTTGTTGGTTGTCGTCACGTGGGGTTATTGATGCCTGATGGATCAGGTTAGCTTCCTGTTTGCTAGTTACTTTCTCTCTTCCTCCTTCTCCCCTCTCTCTTTTCTGTACTAATCTGACTGCATTAATGCTTTCTTGTGCTTCAAGTCCTGTGCAGAATTGTAGTCACATACATATGGCATACCCTACCCAGCTATGCCAATTCGTACTAGTCGGCGTCAATTTGCATACATATCATCCATCTCATACATATCATGGTATCCAGAACGTCACATCGGCTAGGGTATGCAGGGATCCAAGTAAGTCTCGGGAAAATGATAAAAGGTATAATAAGTACGATATTTGGATATTTAGAGCTAGTGTAATGTAACGCAGGAGAAAACAAGAAAAGCAAAAGCTGCAGAATGCAGATCGATCGTGGAGAAGGCCGCGCAGGATGCCAAGGGACAAAACAGTGATTCCTATTATTGTGACACTAGTCTGAGTCAATCATGGCATTGTTATCTAGGTAGGTCTCCAATGCGAAGTACCCGGACTGATGCCCATCGAACCTGGACTCTCCCTACCTATTCTTCATCTTGCAGTCAAACCATGAAGATTACGTAAGAAGTCTTAGACAATAAGGCCTCATATGAGCTTGCCAGGTGTAGTCGAGTGTTTAATCTGCATCGACCAAAGCATTTCCCGCGGGCTATAATTGACGCAACGTGCGTGGACGATGTAGTCGCTGGTGTCAAGCTAGCAATCCAACAAAACTGCCAGGTCGCTGTCCGCTCCGGTGGCCACTCTATCTTTGTTTGGAGTCTCCAAAACGATTCACTGCTCGTAGACCTTGGCAACTGGAAAGAAATCGTCGTGGAGACAGGTCCATTCATCGCGAAGGTCACATCCAGCGTCACAAAGGGAAGGGTTGAACAACCAGCTCAGAGCCTTTGGTCTCATGTTCCCAGCTGGACACTGCCCAGACGTAGGCCTTGGGGGATTTTTGCTCCATGGTGGTCAAGGTTGGAATTATCGAGTAAGTCTCATCCAATTTAATCCTCGTTATAATCTTGTTGCTAAGATTAGCAGAATTGGGATGGGCTTGTGAGCGGGTTATCGCTGTCGAGGTGGTGACCGCACAAGGCGAGCTACTCCTATGCAATGAAAAGCAGAACGAAGAACTGTGTTGGGCGGCAAGGGGATCGGGTCCTCGTACGTGTAGATCCGCACCCCCTCTCAACACTGCTGATAGCCATTCCTTTCGAGTTTTCCCTGCCATTGTGACTAGATTCCATTTACAACTATTGCCATACCTTAGCGCTGGATTTCTTTCCTCCACGTACGTCTATCCGTCAGCACTCTATCGTCAAGCTTTTGGATGGATTCAATCAATCGTTCCTGAAGCTGACGAGGATACCGAGATAGTCATGATAGCCTTCTACCTGGATTCGGAACATGATATCTGCTTGAAGCTACATTTGTGACAATGAAATCAGACGCAACAGAGACAGAAAATGCACTCCTGAAATTACATCAGAGTCGGCCCTCAAGTGCACTCGGAGAATTGGTATGCCAAAAGGAAAGCCTTGCTCATCTATATGAAGATCAGGCAATGGGAAACACAGCTTCCCACTACTATCACACAGACAATGTTTTTCTTGCAGATACAGCAAACGTAACAGAAGTACTAAGAGAAGGCTTCTTAGGATTGCCGCGTGGCAAATCCTTTGCGTTCTGGTATCCTATGTACCCACCGCAATCGACGGGCGGTGTCGGATATGGCACTCCCTGTACCGTCGGACAATTATTTCGCTGTATACACCATCTCTGAGAGTGAGGATCGCGCTGCTCAATCTCCAAGTTGGGTGGATACGGTCATGGCCAAAATCAGGGAACATGCTGTGGGATCTTACGTGGGTGACTGTGACCTGAAGTTGCCACATGAGTGGTATTGGAAGGGCCACATTGCGCAACAGATTGAGGCAATCCGACAGAACTGGGATCCGAACTCCCTTTTCTGTGCCGCTCATGGATATGGCAGTTAGCGAGCATGAATATTTCATTTGAGACTTCCAATGTTCACATATCCAGAGGGATTGGCGGCTAGATCGTACAGGATATCAATGTCTCCACGATACTACGTAAACGCGGCAGCACAAGATGCATTTATTGTGGAAGGAACTATCTCCGACAGACTGGGCTGTGCAATAAACCCGAATATCGGTGTACCCAGACATCACCACAAAAGCTAACCAACAGTGAATTGAAACTTTACCCTATCTCAATCACCCGAACAGCAAAGCTCTCACTTCAATACTTTCCCGGGCCCTTGCATTGGAGGAGACCTTGAATCATTGAAAGCAGAGTGAGGTACTTGCATGGCAACCTCTTGGTTTGTATCCTTGCACTTGAGCAGCAAACATTCGTCGTTCTTCATGCCAGACCAGTACATCCACTTTTGCTTCGGATTTAATCTGACCCCAACGATCTCGCCTTTCCGAGTTGGAAGTCTGAACTCGATCGGGACCAAGTCTTCTGGTTCGACCGAGGAGCCACTGGCAAATGCCAAAGGGCAGGACTGAACAGGACCATTTAAAGGCTTCCAGACATTGATTATGCGATAGCGATGCTGCAAAAGCTCTTCTGCCTCTTGCCGATCAGGCACGGAGATTCTCACTCGCTTTTCTGCCGCCTGAGCCGTTTGGTCTGCATGAGCTGTATGCAGAGGCTTTCTGTGTGTTTCTTCGTGCTCCCTCCTAACGACGTGGTCGAAGACAATAACTTTGTGAGCACCTTCGACCCTTTGGAGGAGGAGCTTCTCTATCTCCGGATAGAAATCTTGTTTGACCTCGTCATGGTCAAAAAAGTGCTGTATGACAACTTCTGTCGCTCTACAGGCCCGATCGTTCGTGTGGCGCCTAATGAGATCGATATCTGTGATACAGATATTGTCTATCAGATGTACAAGTCTGGTTCTGGATTTCTCAAATCAGAGTGGTACAACAAATTGACCATCAACGGCGTCAAGAATATTTTCAGTGCCAGAGATCCAAAGTCTCATAGTAGACGTCGACGTCTTCTCTCCGCTCCTCTGTCAGACTCGTCCCTGCAGTCGATGCACCCGACTATTAATGCCAAATCCAAGCTGGCCGTACAAAGGATGCGACAAAATTGAAGGAACGTGGTGTAATGGATGTCTTCAAGTGGTGGTGTTTCATGTCTACTGATCTCATTGGAGAGTTGACCTTTGGACACTCCTTTCAATTACTTGAACGAGGCGAGGTTCGTTAGAGTCTTGCTTCTTTCTCTAGCTCTTTATAAGTATTTCACTTACATATTTCAGAAAAACCAAATGGTAGCAGACCTGGAGACTCTCCCTCGACTGGGAATGATCGAGTCGGCATTTCCTACCTTGCTTCAACTGGCAAGTCATATTCCATTACCCTATTTCCGAGATGCAATGCAAGCTGGAAACAGAATCGCAGTATATGCAGATCAATTGATTATGGCATATAGGGACTCGGCGACTAGAGCTCCATCCAACCTGAAGCCCACACTTTTCACAAAATTGTTTCATGTCCGCTGTGATGATTTGTCAGATATCAACATTGCAAGTGAAGCCCAGGGGTACATTGTTGGCAGTAGCGACAACACCGCCATCGCATTGACCTATCTGGTATAGGCAGTTTGTCGCAATGATGAGATCCAGAAGGCCCTGGTGCGGGAACTTGACACTCTTCCCTCTAGCTTTGGCGACGATGAGCTTAAGAAATTACAATTCCTGAATCATGTCGTGAATGGATCACTGCTCCTATATGCTACAAATCCGTCAAGCAGACCGCGCAATCCCCCTTCTCCCGGAGCTGACCTTGGTGACCACTGGATTCCCAGTGGTGTTACCGTCTCCACACAAGCTTATAGCCTGCACCGGGATTCTTCTGTTTTCCCTGATCCTGAAAGGTAGTCGTTTCACGTCATTCAAATTACAAGACTGACAAAGGAATAGTTTCAATCCATGGCGTTGGGCTTCAACAACAAAAGAGATGAAACGTGCTTTTATGCCGTTTGGTGGAGGCTCTCGAAGCATGCAACCCTTCATTCCTCTCCTATCAAACTCTCAATATCTCCTCAGATTGTATTGCTGACAGTGCAATACTTTGCCTAGGATTGCATCTTGCCATATGGGAGATTCGCCTAGGTGCGGCGTATTTTTTCCGCGCATTCCCCGACGCAAGGATGTCAACTCGAGACAATATGAGCGACTTTGACATGCAACAAGTCTGCTATTTTATTATATCCCCTCAAGGAAAGCGGTGCCTCATAGAATCGATGCCTAAAGCCTAGATACGATGGTCCGTTCTTCTATTATTGAGGCACAAGGAACTATATGGAACAAGTGGATACGAAAATTCCTAGCTATGTCCAATCTTGGAACATGAAGGATAGGTGACGAAGACAGAAATCACTAGGACTATGTCTGTTACACGTCCTGATAACATACTACTTTGAGTCTAAGGCAATGAAGGAGTCACTTCGAAGTGCTTCAATTGAATTACTCAGTAATATCGTCCGTGATAGGTGACATTTTAATATTAGGCCTATCTCCGCTAGGGACCATGTTGATGTCTCTCATTAGTGACATGATCGTTCTATAGTAGTAGACTCGTACAGTCTACCTTTTCATGTATGGTATGCGACTAGCGAGGGCTATTACTTTTGGACTGGAAGCATATTGATTTAACTTGTATTGATTCAGAACGCCAATATTGCTCTCCATTTTCCAGTGGATTGCTTATTTCTTTCGAGAATGCTCCAGATCATACCGAACCACCCTGAAAGTTGGCCAAGCCTGCAACAAGACAGCGCCAGCCATCATACAGCCCGCAAAGACCTGAGCACGCAAAAACTCCGAGGTATCAAGATTTACCAAAGCACCTGCAATCGGAGTTCCAGCAAGGGCACCAAAAGACGAGATCCCCCACATCATGCCCAAACGAGTCCCCAAAAAGCTTGAATCCGGACAGAAGATCGGATGCGCCACTATAGAAGTCGGCGCCGTAACCAAAACACCGCTGAGAGCTCCCCAGTAGCATGCCCAGACAATAAAGCCAGCCATACCGGTAGCCACAATCCAAGTGAACATAGCAATCGCCGACGCTGTCACAGAGAATATCAGGATTCCAATAGGCTTGATGTATGCAACAAGCAGATATGGAACGACACGACCAATCACCGACGTGCCATTGACAATAGCAACCATATAAAAGCTAAAATCGGTTGTGGTATGCACCACCGTGCGGGCATAGGAGGCGATATAGAAAATTGGCACGTAGTAGGCGAGCATGACGCATGTGAGCGAGAGCGAGAACATCATAAACGAGGGCTCACGGAAGGCCCTCCAATCGATAAGACTTCTTGCGTGGACCTTTTGGCCTGCTTGCCGACACAAGATTAAACATGATACAATAGCAAGAAATAGGCTGATGAAACCGATGGTGCGGACTGCCCAGGGGAATCCGACTTTAGGCTGTAGTTGGCGGAACATGACCGGGAAAATGACGGCCCCCACGCTAGACCCAATTGACGCACAGCCTATGGCGATTGGGCGTTTTGTTGTGAAACTCGTGGAGATCACGACGAGAGCTGGAATGTAGGAAATGCCACCTCCCATTCCGACGCAAAATCCTTGCGCGAGCAATACCTGTTCCTGTCAGAAAATATTCTCTCAATGCTGGATTTGGGATTTACCTGATAGTACGAAGTGGCCAGACTCGTCATCATCATTCCGAATACGGTCAAGAAACTTCCGGATATAATTAGAGGACGCAAGTAGCCGACATCAACTAATGGCCCTGTAGCAAGACCAACCATTGGGATTAGAGTAGCCTGAATACTGCCCACCCATGAGATCGTGGATGGGTCCTCATTTGGTAGAAGTTCTGTTTGGTAATACTCTTGAAAAGCGCCATAGGTCGTCAGCAGGCCCCTGGAACAATGATTAGCGTTATATAAGCATAGTATGACGACAGTGTAAACCAACCATGAGTTCACAAAAACACAGAAGCCTGCAAGGACGTTTAACCATGCATTCAGGCCCCCATTCACTCTTCTTTGAAGTTCGTTTCCATGTCCATTGTCGGGCGTTAAGTTGCCCGATACGGGTGGTAAATGTGGTCCGTCATGTATCTTCTCTGTCGGACTCATTTCGACATATGTTGGCCATTATGTATTAAAGAAGAACAGTTATAAGAATATCAGGAAGAGAACCCTTTTACTCCAACACTCCACTGTGGGGAAAGCTGGGGTTTAAATTAGTCATGAGCTTCGTCGGTTCGACCGGCATTCGGTAGCCGAGCTCTACCGATTCGGTTGTTCGTTATAGGATGCCTTATTTGATGCGCAGCTACTCCAAATCGATCGGAGACTTCCGAATTTCCGATTTCCGATGTTCGAGCTTCAATGGTCTTCACTATATCTACTTAATATCGTCGAATACCACTTCCGCTTCCGGAATATACATTTCCTTTCGAAGACCCCATGTATGCAATCAGATCTCGTATTCATGGACCATCTCATCTTATCTGACTTACCAGGACAAATATCTGGGTGGTCAATCGTGAATAGGTAAGTACAAAGGAGAAAAATGTCCCAAATCTAGAGCCTTGACCTTTTGGGTTCTATCGGATGCCTTCACATGACCACCTGGGAATGCTTTCACTTTACATTCACTTTACATTTACCTCAGGCTTTCCTCAACCGCTGAGACTCGCTTAGAACTTGACTGGCCTCATCGTCTCTCGCTATATTCATGTGATGCCACCGTTCTTCTGGCTACCATCTCGCGCAGACCTCCAAGGACAATTGAAATATCCAACCATCTTCGGAATTTAATTTTTACTAATAAACATAGACCTATAGTCTTGCTCGGACTCCTTTCACATTACCTCGGCCGTTGCATGGCAGCCCTGCTCCACCAAGCACTCACATGCTGCCCACTGACGCAATCCATTATCAATCAAGACCGGACCTGCTCTCCTCCGAAGATATCACTGGTCTCGCAGTGAGTAGTTCCTGGCTTTTCAGGGTTCTTGATCGTCAAAGGAATACCCGGACTGGGCTATCTACAGAAGACCAGTGGATCTGGAGATCATACACTTCGATAAGATGCGGACATCCTCGCCCAACACCTCGTGCTACCCAACACAACTCAGACCGTGAAGGACAACGGGTGGGCATCCACATCAAAAGGTCACCACATTTTCAGATAAACCCGCACATTGCTGATACGGTCCCTGACAGAGTACTCGCCAGAAAGCTCTTGTTTGAGGGTCTCGAGGGCGTCCCTCACCTCCATCAATGGATCAGCCGCGAATCCAGGAACTTCCCGAGCCTCCTTGTCAAATTTTCAGTTCATCTTTGAGAGGAGTCCCTCATCAGAAGGTGGGAATGGACGGTTTAGGGCGGTGGCAGGGCAAAGAGATACAGCAGACTGCCTTCCTTGACGCATCCATAATGTGTGGTTTATTGCAGATGCCACTGTTACAGAGTTACCTCAACTCGCTCCATGATTATGTGGTCAACCCAAGTCCTCCTTTAGGGAAGTTCGGCCATGGTGGCGTGCGGTAGGCTTATCCCACGGATCCATACCTTGGGGTCATCACGGCCGTGGTCAGACTGGCAAAGTTCCACTCCACTTCCGCTAATAACACAGTCCCCTCCCATCTCGTGAAGAGCTTCATTCAAGCCAACCAAATTGATAGGCTTTTCCCTGTCCTTCCTCAGTTGGCAGAGGAACTTGCGGCGGTCCTTGCCAACCTGCTCGAAGCAAAACGATGACATCCAAAGGAAACGCATTTGAGCCCCACTTGAAGAATCTATCTCTTAATTAAAAGTCGCCGTGATGTGGTTCCACGTCACACAATGCACAATGTCAAGTCACTATGGACAGAACTTGGAAGAGAGTGATATTGCAAGGCCATGAAATAGTTTGTGGTCTCTTGAGGAACCCGACTATGTCTGCAACCCAGTTCGGTTTGGAGGGATCTTAGATAGCGGAGCCGTCCATTACAGGTCGCTGAGTGTTTCCCACACTCAGTATCAAGTCCAAAGACATTGAATCAGCCAAGGACTCCTTCGCGGAAATCCGAATTCCCGATTAACGAGCAGATCTGGACAAAGATGGTCAGACGAGCAAAGCCTCTCAAGAGCACGATCTTGCGAAGATGGCGTCAAGAAGCAAATTCTCGGGGGTGGCAATATAGTTCTGCCCGATCGACGTCGAAGACTCAGTACAAGATCGTCTCCGGGCAGAACGCCATCAAACTCTGGTGGCAGTTCTACCAGGATATACTCTGGCAAAAGCAGAACCATTCAGTTGTGGTTCTCAACAAGGAGAACACGGGGGTATGCGACATCGAAGTTAATGGTGCCCAGAGTTTGCGACTCGAATTGTCAAGCGGGCGGTCTCACATTACGTGCCAGGTCCAGACAGAAAGCAGGGCGAAACGTGACGGCAAAAATGGGGGCCGGGCCGGGACCTCGAGGTAGAGTCTCGTCGAATCTATATATTGCCAGGCGGTTCTAATAAGCTCTAGAGCACTTACTGGATACAAGGCGATTACTCGTATCCTGGTTGCTCCCAGAGGCACGGCAGCTACTTGGCTCTTGGCCATTTTGAAATTAATACCCGAATCCTTCGGGAGATTCTCAATAACCGTGGGACATTGCCTGGCATACTAGAAGATTCTAGTTGCCCATACGCAATGGGTCCTGTCGCTGGGCTGGCTGCGTGCGACACACGCGATAAGGGTGAAGACTACACGGGCTGTAACCCGTTGTTGTTAGTGAGTTGAATTGAGGGAGGCAAGTTCAAAGTCGCTTGCGAGGAGATTAGTCGAATGATCCGATACGTATAGCGCTTCATGG